CTTCCCCAAGGTAAGAGACAGTTGTCATCAAAGAAAATGATGCCAATTTGGTTTGCCACTTAACAACTCAGCATTCTCCTGTTGCCTTTACTCCCTACTTAAGGCTGGCCTCATAGTGGCTTATTCCTCAAGAGGCCATTCAGACAGCAGCTGTAATACAGAGGTTCAAAAATAAAGCGCATCATTCAGCCCTGGACCTGAGCTATGAATCATGCTTTAAAAGCACACTTTTCATCAGCTGAACTTTTTACTCAAAGATCTATAGTAGGTTCAGTAGATTTTAGTTGCCTGGGGAACTGCTAGTTCTCCAAGTCACTTCAGAGCAAGAGGGCCTTAAGCTGGGCTGTTCTAACTTTCAACTCATTCCCCACTTGTGCAATTAAGAAGACTATAAAGAGAATGTTGAAATAGACTTTTGGAAGCCACAGTTCCAGCACTCCTTTCCTGTGGTTTATGAGTTCAAATGAGGCAAAATGTTTCCAACTCTGGATGCTTTCTTTGAGTAAGAGAGTAGAAGCCACATGGGTACTAAGTGTGTTTTCAGGTCTCGTGGCGTGCTGCTAGGGGGTTATGCACAATGCCATCTTGATGGCATGAACTTGGTAGGTCATGTTTATTTTATTGAAAAGACTCCCTAAGTTCTGCACTGAAGGCACATTTGCCATGCTGTTCCATGGGCTAGAGAGGCCCCTTACGAAAACTGCATCAGTGTCTGATGACTTCCTACTCATCTTTCAGGACTCACACCAAATCATGGCTCTGCAGAGCTCTCCTCAGCTTCACCTTTTAGGGTCTCTTTAGTTACTTCCATAGTACATCATATAATGTGGCAATAACTGTACATTTATGTCTCCCAGAACACATAGTCCATAGCCCTCAGTTTATTCATCATAGCCCTTAGAAACATTCATCATATTTTATCCAATACCTTTAACACCCAACATCATTTTCAGTGTAGACATGCATATAGAGTTGATGAAGGACAGTTATAGGTAGGGTTTAGACATAATTTTCAGATTATGGATCTAATTGTATTATCTCAGAATAGAAAGAGTGGTTTGGGTTACTTTCCTTGCCATCAATCCCTGGCAGATTATCTGGGCACAGAAAAACTTAACATTCTCTGAGACAAGGATATAATATCCTGTTCTGGTCAGCATGATACTTTTAATGCTGGTCAAATCCCTGAGGCCAGAACCTTGCTATGTTCCTTAGAAGCTGAAACACTCTTTCAATAGAAAGAATTTGAGTGCTGATAGCTTCCGTTTAGTGAACACCTACTATGTGCCAGGAACTATGCTAATCCCTTCACCTATTGTACTACATTCTTCATAAAAATCTGATAAGGGAACAGTTATTACCCTTATTTCCAGAAAAAACAAAGTCAGGCTTATATTTATTACATAAGTTCATAAAGCTATGGGGTGGCAGAGCTGGGTTTGAACTCTGGTCTTAGATTCCAAAACTCAGGCATGTGCTACTCTAATCAGAGTGCAGCTCTGCAATGTAAGGAACACTGGGATTTGTGACAAGCATCACATTCTTTAATGCTCTCCTGAATTTTTAAGGTGCTATAATTATATCAATAATATAAACTGCCCCTCCTAGGAATGATTTTTTGAAGAATTTCCCAGCTTGTGAATCAGAGGGAATGATTACTTAAATTCCTTTGGAGTTTTTAGTCATTTCATAATGTTACATATAAAATCTATGTTTCAGTGGGCCTGACATCACAGGCAACTCGATTTTAAATGTTCTCCAAAGGATAATTAGGAATATAGTTTGGATAGTGAAGCTAACACAGTAGGCCCCTCACCGGCAGGCAAATTCTTTCTCTTGTGTTTATAACTTAAGATTCATTTTAATTACCTCAGTAGTTTGAAAGAGGCATATGCAGGATGTAGCAAATTAAATCTTGATGCCACCTAACTACTTTGTATCCTTATTGATTTCCAATTTATTCTTATGTTAACTTGCAGTTGACATTGTCTAGGCTTTTTATTGAACTAACGGAAATACAGATGAACATGCTGCTTATGGTATTCATTCATTAGAGGTCATCATCACTGAAATTGACAATTAAAATTAACATTAGTATCCCTCAAATATCACAGGCCAAATAATACCGTGTGTGTGTTTGTGTGTGTTTGCATTCCAAAAAATTACTGCAAACTCACTGTGCTGACATTCTCTTTGGCATAAGGCATGGAGGGATTTAAGAGCAACAAGATACAATCCTGGCCTCTTAAAGAGGCTTCATTTATCAATAGAGTTCTCAATGGAGCAAAGTGACACACCCTGGGATAAGCACATTACATACCACCGTTAACAACCACATCCCTACTCTATAGGAGTGAGTTACTATCTCCACTTTGTAGATGAGATCAGACAAGTCAACTTACCTGACATTGTCATATTTTGCATAAGGCATGTCTAGAATTGTAGCTAGGTTTGAATGGCTCTCAATTTTCTATTTCCACTTCACTACTCTCCCCTCTAACTTGCTTCTTATTTGGTGAAGAAAATAATCAGATGTGGAAAAGACAGAAAGAGATATATGCAAATAGGGGCACAAAAAGCAGCTCACACTGCTTTGAGATTCTAGGAAGCTTCATGAGTAAACTGACATTAATTTGGCTCTTAAAGGATATTTGGAGTGTGCCAGCTAGAAGGAAGGCAACCAAGAGGAACACAGCAATAGCAAGTGAAAAGTTCAAGAGGCACGAAATGGCAGGGCAGGTGTGGCGGGAAGTGGTAGGAGATGAGAATGAGCATGAAACTGGAAGTCAGAGCCTTTTATTCTATGTGAAGGGCCTTGTCCCAGGCAACTGAAAGGCATCAGATGCAATTAGCAAGATCAAGCTATGGTCAGATGGGTGATTTCAAAAAGGCAGCCTGCAAAGGACAAAAGTATAGGAGAGATGCTGGAACAAAAGGCACTGGGTAGGATGCCTTCATCAAAAGGTAAGGAAAAAGTGATTAATGAGAGCAGATTAAAAAGACAAAGATGAATGGAATAGACTGGCTGGTGAGCAAATTTATGAATGAAGAGGGTAGAGAAGGAACATATGAGTTGGCTGAGCGCAGTGGCTCACACTTGTAGTCCCAGACAAATTAAGTGACCTGCCATAGCTATGTATCTTGTATAACTTTTGGGAGGCTGAGTAGGGCAGACAGCTTTTGGGAGGCTGAGTAGGGCAGACAGCTTCAGTGCAGGAGTTTTAGACCCGCCTGGGAAATATGGCGAAACCTTGTCTGTACAAAAAAATACAAAAATTAACAGGGTATGGTGGCGCACACCGTAATCCTAGCTAATCAAGAGGTTGAGGTGGGAGGATCACCTGAGCCTAGGGAGGCCAAGGCTGCAGTGAACCGTGATTATGCCACTGCACTCCAGACTGGGTGATAGAATGAAAGAGTGAGACTGTCTCAAAAAAAAAAAATGAAAAGAAAACAAAAGAAAAAAATGTGAGTTAACATTTACGGAGTACTTCTTGTATTCTACTAGCAGCTGTGCTCAGCCTAACCCAAGCTGTCTCATTAAGGCCACATAGTAAGTCTATGGGAGTAATATTTTTATTATTCCAATTGCACAGAGGAAAAAAGTTATGCATGGAAAGTTCAGTAACAGCTGGAAAATTGTAGACAATTTGAACCCAAGCAGTTTTACTGAATATCTTTCCCTTTTTTTTTTTTTTTAACTAGTGCATTGTATAGCTTCCTGGATGAGTCTGAGGTTTTTATCAACTATGATAAGGACTAGAAAAAGATGAAAAGATTGAAGGGAGAGTTATTAAGATCAATTTTCACATTTTGAGTTTGAACTTCCTAAAGTATGTCCAGGTGGAAGTAACTGGTTGAATAATTGGAAACAGAGAGAAGGGAATTAAGAAGTTATTGCAATAAAGATACTGGTTGATACCACAGGACCACAGATGCTCAGTCGGTGGAAGGGTAGAAATAAAAGTAGGACAGTGGCAGGGATGAAAGCAGTACGGACCACTTTCCCTCTTGAAAATAAATAAACACATGTAAACATTCAACCTTCAATACAAACCCCATAAACACAAGTATGTAGACTTTATTTCCAATTATGCCTTTTGTAACTTTTTGTTCTAGTGTGAGAAAGATTATTTGCCTGGCTTCTCTAAACTATTGCCTTATTGTGAAGAACTGTTCTCCCAAAACTCTAGCTCCAGAGAGCCCTGGGCTTTTCTAGAAAATAGCAATGCTGAGGTTCCCATATTTGTCAAAATTGGAACTTTAGGCATTCATCATTTAAAATTATTGTGAGTATGTTTCAACAGAAAAGACTGATACTGTCAAAATGAGAAGCAAAATAGTTTGTTTCTTAGAAACGTTCCTCCTTCTCCTGCACCCCCAACCCCCTCACCATTCCAATTATCTTCTTGCTACAAACCACCTTTGCCAGCTGGGGTAGGGAGAGACCCAGATGGCAATAGTCTGAGTGAGAAAAAAGGGTCACTACATGACACACACTCTAGCAGTTTCACTGAGAGGAACACAGTAACAGCATTTCACTGCTGGTATTCCAAAGTGCAGTTAATGGGAGGTGGGAGAGGTTTGAGTGGGATGGTTTAGCAAGCATTGTTTCCCAATTCCTAAATAGCAGAAAGAATTCCTCTGTAACTATCCTGCATTTCAAAGAGATTCAGTCCAGAAAGACAGAGTAATTCAACGCCTGAATGGTTAAATGCCATTCTTTACCATATTTCTTCTCTAAGGAGCATCTTGTGTTGGAGATATGCATCTGAGGATCTGGCAGGGTGGACAGTGGACCTCAGAAGGGGGCTTTCTCATGGAATCTCAATGTTCCTATGTCAAGTCATCTCACAAAAGCAAAACTGAGCAGTGCCCGGGGAAGAATTTTAAAGGCAGCTCAAAGGTTCCTGATGATTCAAATGTATTTTATAAAACTCTTTACATTTCTCTTTTCGATCGTGACAAAGTCTATTGGCACAAACAGCACAGCCACAAAGTATTCTTTTTATTTTAATAACTCATATATTTATATATATTTATATTTTTGCTTATCTTCATTTCCTCAGCAAAAAGGGAAATAAAAATATTGATCTATAAAATAAGCTGATGATAACACAATGCCAAAAATAGCTTATGTTAAGTGCAAGGGGTGAAGCTTGAAAGCAAGCTAAATTGCAGCAACATATTGATTTAACATTTTAAATACAAGACTTACAATAAAATAATTCTTGAAATATGCTTCTCATTTTTTAGTTTACTTTTGAAAAACTACTCTATATACACATATCCAGTTGTAACACTTGACAGTAGCATTATGGGGCATGATATAACTTTGGTACACATTGCAGATATGGATGGCTAATGTCTGTAAATGATATTCCTTCACCAGTTAGACCTCTGTACATCCAGGTGACCAGCCACCTGGTTCTAAGTCATCTCCCCCCAGAATCTCTGGAGTCCTTCCCAGAGCCATCAGAGACAGCAGGAGGAAGCAGGCTCACTGGATCCATATTGTGTTTCCTCTCTCGGTTCTCCTGGGTTCCACAGTCAGCTCTCCAAACGTGGAGAAAAACTGCTCCATTTCTTTCTGTAGCATGTCATTTCTTTTCTCGGCATCTTCTTTTGCTCGCTCGGCATTTCGCATTTTTATTTCTATCATTGTGAACTTTTTTCGCTCCTGATCCAGTTCATCATGGAGGTTCATCATTTCTGTTTCCAAAGTCAAGTTTCGCTGTTCTAAGCTACAAAGGATGTGGGGGTGGGGAGGCAAGAGTAAAATAAAGTGATTTTATTTACTTGAAATGCAAGAGGCATACAAATATTTTCTAAACTCCCTATGATGCTTAGGAAATTGGAATAAAGCCCTATCAACAATTTAAAAGATGTAATTTTGTTGTATTATTTTACTATTTGCTAAGATCATTTACTGTCATTTTAGTAATTATGTTCCAAGGCCTCTCTTGGAAGCAGCTGTCATTTAATAGTAAATAAGTGAATGTCAGCATAGAGAAGCCAGTGACACATTCTGGGCAGAAGAGGCAGAAAGCTTCCTGGACATGAAATGGTAAACTTGCCTATAATAAACGCAGGGGGAAAGTCTGATAAAGTTGAAGAAAAAAAAAAGAGGGCAATAACATTTGCTTTCTATTGAAGGAAAAATAGTGATGGAAAATGTCATTGTTGGTTAAGTTAACTGCTAAGAATGCAGTTTTTGGAAGCATACAGAGTCACATCTTATAAAAGAGTACACAAAGTAGTGAGCTTACATTTTATAGGACAGGTAAAGATCACATGTGTTAAATAAGCCCTGAATCTTATATTTTGTAAAAATAAAGCCCATTCCTTGCTATCCCCAATTCTCATTGCTTCCCAAGTTAATATAGCTTAGGACATAGGTATTTTATATCTCTCTATAAATTGATAGTGGTTTTGTATAGCTGTATTGATAACTTTTAGATAATTGTAGAATTTGCAATAACATCTTTAAAAACAAAAATTGTTTTCTCCATAACAATTAAGATCCAAATCATACACATATATTATTCAAAAGAGGGGTATTAAAATTACATCTTTATTGTGAGATGTATCTTGATCATAGCTGACTTTAATTTCTCCTATTCTGAGCTAAAGTCCTGTGGGACTCATTCAAATTTACCATACCAGTGAAATTTGAAAGGTTATTGAATTTGTAGCTCTCAGAAATCTGATTATTTTAATAACAATTTTAAAATTAAAATCTCAATTATGTTACTGTTTTAATAAATTTGAGCCCCACATGTTGATATTTCATCCAGATAATAAGGACACTTTAATATTAATCTTCCCTCTCTTTGTAAGAACTAGAATTAAAAAAAACCTTCATATTTTGTAATCCTACATCATTTAGAATGCTATTTTAAACCTATGACCATGTTTTTAAATGAAAATTTGATACTATGCTGGTTGCCACCCAGAATCTACAATATATTCTTTTGCTTTCCATAGCCATTTTAGTGCCAAAATATTGGAAGAAACTGAAGTTAAAATACTGAGAAGGACAACCCTTACAAAACAACATATTGACACATTTGTATTTATCAGGTGCTTGCAAGAAACTTCCAGGAATGAAAAGGGCTGAACTGAATACAGAAGAAATCCCTTTCAATGCAAACATATAAAAATGCTGGAAAATTTTTAAGAAATCTATTTTAAAAATACACAATCAAGGTTAAAATAAAAGAGCAACTTCAGGTATCAGATATAGAACAGTAAGTAGAAGCACACAAGGGCTATTAGTCTTGGATAGAAGCCATAGGGTTGGGGCTACGTTTTTCCTTTTCACACGGAGGCAGAAGATGAGGCCTCCAGTATTAGGGAGACAGAAAATTACAAGTAGTTTAACTGAGTTTGGAATACCAACTGTTTTTATTAAGAAGGGACTACAAAATGTCTACTCATGGGCCTGGGGAAGTATCAGAACAGAATTAGCACAACAGAATATTAGTAAGCTACAAAACGAGTCTGAGAAAAGTTACCTAGAATGCCTCAAAAATGACAATTATTGGCTAAGCAAGGTGGCTTATGCCTGTAATCCCAGCACTTTGGGAGGCTGAGGTGGGTGAATTATGAGGTCAAGAGATTGAGACCATCCTACCCAACATGGTGAAACCCTGTCTCTACTAAAAAATACAAAAATTAGCTGGGTGTGGTGGCACACACCTGCAGTCCCAGCTACTCAGGAGGCTGAGGCAGGAGAATAGCTTAAACCCAGGAGGCAGACATTGCAGTGAGCGGAGATTGTGCCACTGCACTCCAGCCTGGTGACAGAGCAAGACTTTTTCTCAAAAAAAAAAAAAAAAAAGAAAAATAATTACAGAAATTTAATATAGGAAAAAGAAGTTAACAAAGATGGAGGACAAACATATCTTTTTTTTTTTTTGAGACAGAGTTTCACTCTTGTTACCCAGGCTGGAGTGCAGTGGCGTGATCTAGGCTCACCGCAACCTCCGCCTCCTGGATTCAGGCAATTCTCCTGCCTCAGCCTCCTGGGACAAACATATCTGAATAAGGGTTCTGGAAAGAGAAAATTGAGAAGGTAGGAAGATAAAATAGACAAACAGATGATGAATAAAAATATTCCAGAATTGTAAAAGATGTAAGTCGTTAGATCAAATCATGAGACAAAGTTTGAAAGTTAAAAAAAGGAAAAGATATATCAGGAAGTTACTAATCAAAGGAAGATGGTATGACAGTATTAATATCAGAAAAAAATGGACTTTCAGGTAAAAAGCATCATTACAATGAAAAAATAACCCCTAATTAATGATAAAAGGATCAATTATTCAGGGAAATATAAATAACTCTAAACTTCTATACAGAACCTCAAATTGTTCAGTATAAAATATGACAAAATTGTAAAAAGAAATGGGTCAACTCAGAATACTGTTAGGAAATCTTAAAATATCTTTCTCAAAAATTATAGGTCTAGCTGAAAAAAATGAGGAGAAATGTAGACCCTTTGACTAGCGTGATTAGCAGATTTGATCTATTGGTCCTGTACAGAATCCCAATTCAGTAATAGGGGATAGTTTGAAGAACCGAACAATTGATAGCATCCAAATGAACTTCTCTGACCACACACAGTATTTTCTAAGAAAATAAAGTTAGAAATCGCTGAGTGCGGTGGATCATGCCTGTAATTCCAGCACTTATCCCAGCACTTTGAGAGGCCAAGGTGGACAAATCATTTGAGGTCAAGAATTTGAGATCAGTCTGGCCAACATGGTGAAACCCCCGTCTCCACAAGGAAAAAAAAAATAGCCAGGTGTGGTGGCTACTCTGGAGGCTGAGGCAGGAGAATTGCTTCAACCTGGGAGGTAGAGGTTGCAGGGAGCAGAGATCATGCCACTGCACTCCAGCCTGGGTAACAGAATGAGACTCCTCAAAAAAAGAAAAAAAAAAAAAAAGAAAGAAAAGAAAAGAAAAAGAAACCAATCTGGAGAGCGAAAAAGAACATCAAACTCACATGTTTCAGAACTTAAAACCATATATTTCATTGATTTATAATTAAAGTAAAGTATTATCTGTCTACTTACCTTCATATTTATTTACCTACCTACCTATCGATCCATCTGTCCACCTTCAATACTTGTTGGGTAAAATTATAAAGGAATTTAAAAAAAAAGAATAACTCTAAACAGGAATTATCAAAATTTAGCCAGAACAGTTACCTTTCTACTATCTCATGGCTAGGCCACACATGGTCCTCCACCCTACCCTACTGCAAACCTCTCCCTTGGCCTCTCATGAGGGTAAGAGTGCGATAGTGAAGTGGCCCATTGAGATGACACTCTATTGGGAAGTTCTATCAATTTATCAAAATCTCTAAAATATACCATAGATCATCAGATCTCAGAACATATATGCATCAGCAACATCCTCAGAAATGAATGTATCCATCTGCAAATTCGTAATGAATCCTTTTTTATTTTTCTACTACATTTAAAGTGTGACCCCTTGCCTCAAAATATGAGCTTCCCAGTGTGAAGCGCTAATTTATCATCATGCATTGGCAGTAATTCAGAATTCTAATACGTAGTGGTTCCAAAAACTACATTCAGAAAGAAGAGTAACCTTTTAAGACGATGACCCTATTTTTTTAATTTAAATCTCCTGTCACTCTGCATTATATAGGAAAATTCAAACCACATTTCCACTCCGTGAAATTTACAAAAAAAATACTTTCCGAGAAGGTAATTTTTCAATTTCATTTATAATCAGTATTTTTAAAATATATTTACTTTGCCATAGCTTCCAAAATGTTATCTTTTGGTCTGATAATTGATAAATGGATAAGAAACATACTAAGGTTAATCAAAGCCAACTTACAACCAACTTGCGGATCCTAGCACACCATGGAGGAAGGGGCGCTCAAACCACACAGCCTGAAACTGGGACTAAGGCCGCTAGAGAAGCTACTCCCACTTTGATCATTTTATGAGAAGACATAAATTGATATAATTCAGTTTTAGCATAATTGCTTCTTGGTAAATCATGTTCTTTGTTCCTCATTTAGGCTACAGTCTCCCTTGTTCATGTGAACACACTTCACGTCACCCCTCTTCTCAAAAACCTACATGAATTCCTATCTCAGAGTAAGAGTCAAAGGCTGAAAATGAGCCTGTCAATTCCCATTGTCTCTTATTACTTCCCTTATTGCTTCTCTTAGCTTATCTGGACCCTCAGGGTCTGGAACAGAGACTGGCAGAAAGAAAGCACTCTCTTAATATTCAATAATTGAAAGAATAAAACATGGGGATATATTTACTTCTACTTTTATTTTTACCCCAGTTTCATCCTTTTCTTGTCAGTGAAAACTGACAGGCTCCTAATGCTCTGTCCATCTCCTCCACAGCCCCTCTCCTTCCAACCCTCTAGTGCAAATCTGCCTGTTTAATAATAATAATAAATGACATTATTGAGTCTATTCTGTACCAGGGAAATGTTCAATCACTTCTCATGTGCTTTTGAGGTAGATACTAATAACATTTAAATTGTTTACATTAGGGAACCAAAGCTCACAGAGATAAAGCTAACTTCCCCAAAGTCACAAAGCCCATAAATGGTGGTGCAAACTTGGGTCTCTTTGACTTTGGAGCCAGCATTATGTCACCCTCAGTATGATCTTGTCCCACAGTAGGAGGCTAAAGAGCCCTCTCTGGTAGTTACAACCACCAGATTTTCCTCACCTCTTTATCCTGGACTCATACTCTATCTTCTGTTTGGTCATTTCCTGTTTCAGGCTGGAAACTAAACTGTGCAGTGCACTGTGGTTGCTGCTGCTGTTACCAACAAATGTCTCACTGTTGTCACTGCTGCTGGTGGCACGACTACTTCGACCTCCTACACTCCTGTGGTCACTTTTGCTTTCATAGTCCCTGGGGTGGGAGAGGTCATCCTGTGGAGGCCCATCCAAAACAGGGTCCTCAAAGTTCCCCCCATAAAAGTCTTGCTCTGGGCAGGTGGTGGTGGAAGAGCGACAAGAGTTGGAGTTCTCGGGGAGGGAGATTTCACAGGAGGAAGTGGACCAGGTGGCGCTGTCGATGCTCTGCTTGTCATCAAGGTTCATCATGGAGAACTGTTGATGGACGTTATCATAGGTGGACAGTCTGTTGTGCTGGCCTGACTCTCCAGCTTGTTCTTTCTGCTTGTTATCCCTCAGGGTCACATAGCCATTTGGCAGCCAGCTCATGTTTCGACCATTTGCGGGATTCCCGAGTGTGTCGCTGGTCAAAATGCCCATGCGCACTGTTCCATTCTGTACACTGTGTGTGCCCATTTTGGTACCAGATCCCTTCAGTGAAGAGTTCCTTCTGGCTTGTAGGCTCCCATTGGGGGTGATTTGGGTTTTCTCAAGACCTTCTGCATTGCTGCTGCTGAAGGACCCATTGGTAACTATCCCACTACCCTTATTAAAAGCTGGGTTCTTTTTGACCATGAGAGGGGGGCTTCTGGACACATCTAGCTTGTGAACGCTGCTCCTTGGGCTGTTGGTTTTGCTGCCTGATAGAGCAGTGGGGGATCCATTGTCCATGCTGCTTCTCTGGGGTGACTCAGACTTGTCCCAGGAGCACCGCCTACCAGGGCTGTCCTTGGTGTTATTGTTCTCCTTGTTCTGTAACTGCCCCATGGTGGCTTTCTTTTGAATTTCATTATTGTTGTTGCTAACTCCATCTTGGGGCTTGCTCTGTAGTTCTGCGTCTTTGGGAAAGAGGCAGTCATGTTTGCTAATCATCACTGACATCAACTGCTGGACCACCACAGTGCCTAGAATTGCATAGAACATAATGTAGCATGACTGAGACAGCTTTTATTTATTTCCATTTGAATGTGACTCTTAAAGAAATACATTCAAGTGAACATTTATTATTATTAGCAGTACCAAACCAAATTCTTAACTATAATAGCAATAGAAGCTAAAACGTCTTGAGCATTTACTCTGTGCTGGGAACTGTGTCAAGAACTTTGCTTCTGTAATTTAATTGAATTTTGAAACAAATCTATACATATATACTCTTATTATCACTGTATTATAAAGGTTAAGTAACTTGATTAAGGTTACATGTAAAGGACCAGACCCAGGGCTTGAAACCAGAGTTAATCGTTAAAAAGCTGGGCTCTTAATCTTAATACAATATTTATTACATGTTTGACATTTAATTCTGAGAAATCTTTCCTAGGAGGAGGTCACCATGACCCCCATCTAATAATTGCCTCCAACTATCAAGATACTTTAGTGGTAGCTATAAATAGAACCCTATACAATCTCTGGTGGATACATGGTTTTTCTAATGTAGCAAGACAATGAAAATTCATAAGACTTTTGATCACCATTCAAAAGTTTCGGGGCATTTTAAATGACATCAGCCAGAATGGTGTAGTGAAGACTTCCAAAAATTCTATTCACCATATAAGCAACAAGCAAAAAATCCGGAATCAACTATTTTGGAATTCCGTAAATGAACTAACGGCTTGATGCAATCTGGAGAGTGTTTATGTAAGAAAAATGGCTGAATCTCAGTAAGAGCAGCAAGGTCTGTGGTATTTTCACTTGCTCTAATCTTATCCAACTCTCCTTGAAAACCAAGAGCCCACAGTCACAAAGAAAACCAGCCATCTGGCAGCCACTAGAATGGGCAAAGCAGGGTTGGATTTTTAGTTAGTAAATATGGTTTCTATGTAAAATACTTAAAACATGATATTTGGCAAAAAAAGAAAAAAAATGAAAGAGGCTTTTGACAATGCAGAATTTCATTGAAACAGCAGCTAATTGAGAGGCTGTCAGAGAGCAGAAACCTGACCTGGGGCAAGGTCACTTTTTAGCTTCAAGTGACACCTGGGAAATAGAATTCAAAATCAGATTTTGAATAGAAAAAAAAACATATTACTTTATTCATTTATATTCTACATGCTTTTCTGGTGATGATTCAAAACTTGGACTATTTTAGACTGCATATCTGCAATGAGCAAGATCTATTGCTATATCAATGTTGTTCAAATTTTAAAGTTCATAAAAATTACCTGGAGATCCTGTTAGAAGGAACATGAGGTTTTGCATTATTAACCAGCTTCCAAATAACATCAGCAATAATAGAATAGTAGCACTGCCATCACCCGGAAGCCTAAAAATTTCAGGACCCAATGCAGAGCATCTGAATCAGAATCCCTAGGTGATTCCTGGGGCCTTTACAGTTTGAGAAACACTGTAGTAGATGCAAATGTTTCCTTGTATCTTCCAAATTAAATTTCTTGAAAGTCCAAAAGAGGATCATTTTTTTAAATGAGAAAATTGAGGGTCAGAGAGGTTAAGCTATTTGCTCAGGGCACAGAGACAATGTGATCGAAGTGAAATTTAATATTTAGTCTTATTCCAAATTATACATTGGTCCTACTATAGTTCAGCTGCTGCAATTTAAAACTGTAGCAGTAATAAGTAAACTTGGATAGTTTTAAAGATAAAACTAGCCAGGCACGGTGGCTCATGCCTGTAATCCTAGCACTTTGGGAGGCCGAGGCGGGTGGATCACAAGGTCAGGAGTTCAAGACCAGACTGGCCAACATCGTGAAACCCCTTCTCTACTAAAAATACAAAAAACTAGCTGGGTGTGGTGTCTTGTGCCAGTAATCACAGCTACTTGGGAGGCTGAGGTAAGAGTATTGCTTGAACCAGGACGTGGGAGGCGGAGGTTGCAGTGAGTCAAGATGGCGCCACTGTACTCCAGCCTGGGCTACAGAGCGAGACTCCATCTCAAAAAAAAAAAGATAAAACTAAAGATAAATACCTACTGAGTTACCATCAATTATTACAAAATTGTGAAAAAGACTGAATGTAATAATTAATTGTATTATATAGCCTCCTTTTCTCTTTAGTAATCTCTGAATTTGTCATATTTTCCATACATGTTAGCAGTGAATCTGATAAAAAGGATTTCAGAGCAGTTAGAATAACACTGTCAACCTTATGTACTGTGTTTGAAGATGTTGTGTATTTCATGCTATTTTATTATTTGCCCATATGCAGACTCACTTTCAGAGGTTTGTAGTTTCCATTATATATGACTGTCTAGTATTTTGCGAAAGTGAACCTTTTTCCTAGCATTGGAATATTGACATTTGAAGTATCACTGCTTCCCGTCATAGCTATGAACTGTGTGGGAGCATGTAATTAATTGAAGACCAGCATCCCTAAGGTCTCCATGATGAGTTTGTGAACAGCCATGTCAAAGTGTACTTGCCACAGTTATAGAGTATAAGGTCAGATCCCTAGAGACTTAGAACTCTCTCTTGTATCTTGGGAAGCTTTGATTCCATCTAGTCTCTGGGAAAATAAATGGCCACAGCCCTTGTAAAAGGACTTTCTTAGAATTTTTGTAGCTGCTTAGGACAGACTAGCTCAGTAGTAGTGATGATGTGTGTGCTACAGTACACACATTCACTTTCTCTTTTTTATTCCCTCTTCTCTGTTATTTTCATCCTTAGAATGCCAACAAGGAACATGAAGCCCAGATAATGAGGTCAGAGTGGTTATAATCACCAGCCCACTCTGAAGAGTCCAAGCAGATGCTGGTGTCCCACTGTGCTACATAATCCAGCAATTCTTCCTTGGATCATATAATTTGACACAGGTAGACTCTAAATACCATAAAATAGACATTTTCCATCATAAGCATTGGCTAAAACTTTGATTTTTCCTTAAAAAAAAGCCTAGGCCCTTTAAATATAATAGGTAAATTTGAAAATATATGTAAATGAAAGCATTCTGTGCAATATAGTTTCAATATATACTTTTTGCAATGAATAACTTTGCACATATGACATTTTGCATGTTTGAAGATATCTGCTAAGATATCTGATGATTTTTGACAAATGTATATACTTCTGAAAGTACCACCTAATCATGATATTAAAAAGTTATCCTATGCCTCTTTGGAGTCAGTCCCCTACCTCTAACTCTGGCCCATAGCATCCTTGATGTTCTGGCTCTATAGTTTTGCCTTTTTCACAATTTCATATAAATGAAATTACACAGTATATAGCCTTTCATATCTAGGTATTTTCCACTCAGCATAATAATTTTGACATTTATTTATATTCTTACATGTAGCAGTTTATTCTTTAATGTCAAATAGTATTAGTTTCTGTAGATGTGCCACAATTTATCTGTTCACTAGTTGATGAAGTATTGGTCTGTTTTCAGTTTGGGGCTAATATGAATAAAGTTGATAGGAACATTTGACTGCAAGTGTTGGGTGAACACATGTTTTCTTTTTTCCTTGGGTAAATGTTTAGCACATGGCTCTGCTGGGTTATACGGTTACTATATTTTTAAGTTAGTAAGAATCTACCTAATCCTTTTGTGAATTGGCTCTAACATTTTGTATTTCTACCAGCCAAACCTGGTATATTTTGAGTCTTAATTTTACTCTTTGTAAGGAATGTGTAGAGACATCTTATTGTGATTTAAATTGCAGTTTTTCTAATGACTAAAGATCTTGAGCATCTTTCCATGTATTATTTGCTATTTGTGATGTGTATGTTTCAAATCTTTTGCCAATTTTTCATTGACTGTCTTGTTTTGCATGAGTTCTTAATATATTCTTAAAACAAGTTATTTATCAGGTATGCAATTTGCAAGTATGTTCCCCATTTCCAAAAAGGCTTGACTTTTTGTTTTCTTAGGAATACCTTTTAAAGTGCAAAAATGTCAATTTTGACAAAGTCCAACTTATCAAATAATTTTTAAAATATTTTTACAGTTAGAGTCTTTTGTGTCATAAGTCTTTGACTAACACAAGGTAATAAGATTTCTTAAAAAATATTTTCTTCTATATCTCTCTTACTTTTAACTCCTACATTTAGGTCTATGATCCATCTCAAGTTTTTTGTATATAATGTGAGGTAAGGATTGAGGTTATTTATTTATATTTTTAGGAATATGAAATTGTTCCAGCATCATTTGGGAAAATGACTATCCCTTTTTCATTGAAATACCTTGGTACATTGGTCAAAAATCAAATGACTACACATATTTCTGAACTCTCTGCTCTATTGCACTGATCTGTGTGTCCATCTTTATTTCAATACCATACTTAATTATGTGTGGCTTTATACTAAGTCTTGAAATCAAGTTATATATACTCAACTCTGTTATTTCCTTTCCAATTATTTGAACCATTCTAGATTGCTTTTATTTCCCTGTAAAACTTATAATAAGATTGTCAATCTCTACAAATAAAAATTCTGGTGGAATATTTTTGTGTCAATTATATTGAAACTATAGGTCAATTTTAGAAAAATTAATTGCTTAATGATATTGAGTATTCTAATACATGAGCAGAGTATATTTCCCCATTTATGTAGTTCTTACCTAATTTGTTAATGTTTAGCAGTTTTCAAAGTGTGTCTTATGCATGCTTTCTTAAATTTCTCCCTAAATATTTTAAATTAATGAGTGTTGTTCTAAATAATAATTTTTATTTCAATTTCTAATTGTCCAATGTAGTATATAGAAATACAATAAAGTTTTATAAACTGACTTTGCATTATGTGATCTTGATACATTTGCTTATTAGTTATATTGGTTTTATTTGTTGATTACATAGAATTTTCTATGTAGATGTTCATATTGGCCGTGAATAAAGAGAGTTTTACATCTTCTTTTCCAATTTTATACCTTTTATTTCATATTACTGGCTAGAATTTCCAGTACAATGGAAGTGGTAGGATAAGGTAAACTTACCTTAAACCAGATCTTAGAGGCAAAGCAT